TGCTGCCGGAGCCTGATGAATTCCACCGGCGGTCATACGATGGCTTAAGATGCCCTCACGAATGCCTTACGAAGGGCAAAATGGACACACAAAGTCAACACGAAAATGAACCTTCACAAGGTCCTTCGGCAATGCTTTGTGATGCCAAAGATGTTGCCACCGCTCCCGAAGTTGCCGCTGGAGCTTGAGAAACTCCACCGGCGGTCATACGATGGCTTAAGATGCCCTCACGAATGGCCCGATGTTGTTACGATCAGAGACGAATTTGAACATTTCCTTAATCGTGTGTCCATCGGGTATCAATTTCGGGACAGTGTGACAGGGGCTTTAACGTATTGTCATCTTCTTTTTTAATATCCTGTTATTTCACATGCTGGCTCACTGTCACACTGTCAGACACTTGAAATACGACTACACCATTGTTGTTGTTATTATTATTTACACCTGTGTGAATAAAACCTGCTGTGAAAAAGGCTTATTAACAACCACACACTGCAAGGTGCAGCTATGCCAACAAAAAAGAGTCACAGTGTACAAAAAACACATTTCCTTTCAATGACAAATCTCAGTCTGACAGGATCTCCAGCGGTGACGCTATAACTTCATTCACCATCACGGACAGGAGAGAGCAGCGTGACGTCACCGTCTCCCTGAGCGCTGGGAGCTTATCTCCGCTGCACCCGGCATATCAGGCTTCACCGAGGGGAGATAGTGTCACCCCTACACACACACACACACCACCCCCTACACACACCACCACCTCCAAACCCTGCTCTCGCTTCTCCTCGCCTCATCGAGCCTCGCCACGCCGAGCGGAGCCCGGGGTGTTATCAGTTCCTGATAGTTATCGACTTACATTAAAACATAAGAGGGGAGAGAGGGGGAGCAGATAGACAGACAGAGGGAGGGTGGAAACGCAAACAGAGTGGGTGGTGATGGATACCAGCTTTCATCATCTCTAATCATGTTGTCCATCTCCATCTTTAAATCGCGGCTGCTCCTTTTATCACTGTTTAAAATCCACCAAAGGAATATAAATAAAGGGGAAGGACGGATACATTCAGACTTCAAAAAAGAAAAAGATGGTCGTGGAGCCCACGCAATAAAATCATTTAGTTACACAAGTTCAGTTTCTGATAAGGGAAATAAGTTTGGAAAAGCCTCCGTGGGAAAGATTGGAAGGCGCTAAATGTTAAATTAAGTGAAAGTGAGTGGATAGTGGGTCTGTAGCGTGTGTAAAATTAGGATTATAATCGTCACACGTTGGATTTTTATAAGAGAACGTATTAAATATATGACAAACTTTTCATTTAACAGAAGCTTTAGCTTGAGTAAGATATGCCATCTTAATAGAATTAGTAAGTGTCTGCTAAGACGAAGAGGAAATGAATGGATTGAAATACATATCTGGCTTCAAATAGTTCACTATCAAACTAGTACGTCAACACTCCTCAAGAAACTCTAGAAATGTTTGTATTTGACTCATGTTAGCACACATCAGGTAGCAAAGAGGGTAATGACACACTAATAATGTACCTTTAAAATGAGTATGCAGCTTTTTGGCCTAAATGAAAGCACTTTCTGAACCTTAAAGCATGGAAACATTTCACAGTAGAGGCACTAAATACTAATATGAACCTGAAAATGTGCATATAGGTCCCCTTTAACCATCAAGTGGTGTGTTAGCTTGACAATGATACAAAAACATGTTGGCAACAGAACTCTGTATTACACATGTGTTTTTCAGCCCATACCTCATTTTAGTGCCAACACAATACCTGACTTTTGTGTTTTCCTTACGAACAATCAAATTACCCCAACCGAACATTAAAACATATCTACAGTAAGTAGAAGAAGCCATGCAAGAGCCTTCCATCTATGATAGCCAACAACAGTCTGCCAACTATTTGATTCAGATGAAAAACCACCCGATGGAATACCAGAAAAAACGATATTACTAATCTGACCCGATATTAATGATGGTGCAGTGACGTGGCACGGGTAACGTCCGTTGATTAAAACGTTTCACTGAAAGCATTGCGTCCAAAACAAAGCCATAATAGTCAGATGTCATATTTGATTAACAGTCACTCAAGCAATCACTTAATTGTGGGACACGTTACAGTGTTACATAATGTATTGGATAAGTGCACACACACACACACACACACACACACACACACACACACACACACACACACACACACACACACACACAGATATTGAGCAGCATGCATAATCCAGGGCCAAAGACAAAAAGGGGAAACCTTGTGATGGGGATCTTGTAATGGATCAGATTGATTTAATTCACAGCGCCGGACAATTTCTCATTCTTAATCCTCAAGATGTCTCTGAATGGATTTTATGTGGGAGGCCCATTCAATTGTTCTCTCTCACCTCCACACGGGAGGCTCTCAGACGGCGAGCGAGCGAGAGAAAACAGGCAGACAAAGAAACAGAGAGGCAGGCAGAGAAACATAAACTACCTCCACACTCGGCTCATTTGATCTGGCAGCCCTTTTTTGTTGACATTTTTCCTCGTATAAAAAGCGAGGCACTTTCCTGCTCTCGGTGCTTTTATGCTTGCATTTCTTTGAAAGCTTCTCCTTGGAGAGGATGGCCGGCTTGTTTTTTTTTACTCCTCTTCCAAAAAAGCTGAGAAGGGTTACTCCTGGCCTTTTATCACTTGTATTGAATACTCATGCCGAGAGAGGCCCACTTTATTTATCCTGGGAGATGAGGACTCTGTCGGGGGCGGAGCTTGTGCATTGCAGCGTGCTGCTCGGACCGGCTGTGAAATATGTTGGAAATGCCTGGAAAACTCCGGGCTGCGCTCCCAGGAGAGTCCCGTCTATAATAGGCCTGGCTGCAAACCCTCTCCACACATAAATCTCTGCTCCTCGACTCCTGCTGCTCCTCTGCATGTCAGCCCTCGTCCACACTGTGCAGCTACTTTCTGCTTTCTTCCCCTCATCCTCCATTTCAACTGTCCTTCCCTCCCAGGGCCGGTCCTAGACTTTTGGGGGCCCTAAGCGAGCTTTGATTTTAATGGGTCGGGCCGGCTCTGTTCCCTCCTCTGCCCTCTTCTTTCGGTAAATGTATTCTGATTATCACGATCTTCTCTTCTCGCTTCCTATCCTAACCCTGTTCTCCTCTTCCTTTAATCCCCTTTCTTCCAGTATTTCCTCCATCGTTCTCTGCTGTGCACATTTCTCTCCCCGCCTTGTGCTTTTTCCTCCATGTATTTCCCTTTTCCTTCCCCTCTAGTGTTGCTTCCATCTGTCTCCACACCTTCTCTGCCCATCCATCTCCTCTTCGCTGCCCTCCTTTTTCTCATCTTCCCTATTGCTCCCCCCTCATCCACTCCTTCCTCACCCAACCCAGCTTTTCTACCACTCATTTCCCCAATCTGGTAGCTTCTGAATATCCTTTGTCCTTTTTCTTCTTCTCTTCCTCTATTAATGTGTCCTCCTCTGAGCCCCCACACACATCTGCTACTGTGCTTTCCTCCTACCCCCATATCTCTCTTTACCTTCTCTTCTTTCCTATCCACTCCCTCATTATCTCCTCATCCTTCACTCTTGTTACCTCCTCCACAATTCCTGTTGTCTCTTCATTTACACTCCTCCTTTGATTACTTCTTCACTTCCTCTTCTACCCCTCGGCTGTCCTCCTTCCACCTGGATGTCTCACGACCTTATTTACACTTCTGCACCTCCCTCCTTGTTTCTTCTGTCCTCTTTCCATTGATGTTTCCTTTCCTTCTCTCTTCCTCCACTCGTCTAACCCTTTTTTCTGCCCTCTTGAATTCCCCTCCTGATTATCTTTTCTTCTTCTTCTTTCTCTTTTCCTTGTTCTTCTCACTCTTCCCCCCACCCTTCCTTCCCTCATCTATCTTTACTTTCTTTCTATTTTAGTCCTCTGCATGTCCTCTTCCCCTCTGCCTCCCTTTCTATACTCTCTCTCCCTCATTCAGTCTGACACATCAGCCAGATTGACGTGTGTCAGTCTTAATGCCAGGCGACGCTCTGTGTTAGGATCCATCCTCTTTGGCCTCTCACTCCTATGCTCACACACACACACACACACACACACACACACACACACACACACACACACACACACACACACACACACACACACATCAGAGAGAGAATGGGGAAGTCGCCGGAGTCGCTTTAGCAGATTATCGGATCATCGTGGGTCGCTAATTGGGCCGGTTATTTTATTTATTTATTTTTAATTGCCGTTGCGTGTCGCCTCAGATTACGATTGCTTCGACATAAGGATATCAGATCTGTCAGGTACTGGAGGGCTTTGGGATGAGGCCCACACACACACACACACACACACACACACACACACACACACACACACACACACACACACACACACACACACACACACACACACACACACACACACACACACATCACTGCCAGCACAGAGAGAAAGACACCCAGAAAGCGCAGCGCACACTACAGGGTGCAAATAGGAAGGGTCATGGAGGACAAATTAAGAAAGAAAAAAAGAAAGTTTCTGTTGTTGCTCGTACCTGAGTCAGTTCAGTGTGTTTATGTGTGATTGGACTGAGTGTGTGTTTTACTCACCTTGGTTCAAAGTGATCGCCAAAGTTATGATCCACAGGGCTGGCATGGTTTAGCCGCGCGCATTCAGATTCCTCCCCTCGGCTCTGCTTCCCCGAAAAGACACCATCAATTCCTCCGGAGCGGCTCAATGTAACTGGAATCCTCTCAGAGTCATGAGAGTGAAACAAGACACATTTAGAGGAAAAATATCCAAAGCTTCTTTTCCTTTATCCTTCTTTTCTTTATTTCACTCGTTTCCCTGTTTTTCCCGTGCCTAAAATAAATCTGTCTCCACTTTTTTTGTTGTGTCTCTCTCCTCTCTCTGTGTTTCTCTGTCTGCGCTTTAGATTCCCATTTGAACAGGACTGAATTCCTCTCTCCCTCTTTTCGCTCGCTTTCTCCCTCTCTGGCCCCCCTCCTCTCATACAATCAGTAGCACACACCCCCTCCCCCCTCCCTCCTCCACGCCTCCCCGCTCCAAATCTCCGTTTTGGACTCGCGCTGCAGCGGCCGGACAGAGAACTGCGCTTTAAACTTCAAACATCACATGTATTAAATGCTCAAATGTATTTATTTATTTGTTTATTCCACACATGGCAGTTATTTTAACATGTACACTCTACAAAACATGTACACTTATACTGATTTTTATTTTGTATAGCGCATGGTGGAAAGGAGCAGGGGGGGAAACAAAACAAAAATGAAATAACCATAAATAACTAATATAAAAGCAATATTCTTTCAGTCACAGTTGCTTACAAATACTGAAACCTAAAACCAGAGCACAATCAAAAGTCAACTACTGTCTAATTATGCTTTCTTTATACATTTTCTTAAACATAAAATTGTTCTCTAGCCCTCGGCAAAGAATTCCACTGCTTTACGCCCACTACAGAGACACACATCTGCTTTAAAGTAGTGCAAACTGACGCTTAACATTTTATTTTTTATTTAAATTACTTCACCTTAAACCTACATATCTTATAATATAATACAAATACTATAAAATGATAACTGGTGTAGGAGTTATTACAACAATTAAAGGATGCACTACATTCTTTGTTATTACAGAAAAACAGGTTTATTCTGATCATAGGCACTTAGCAGTTTTAGCATTTTCGCATATATGGCAATTTGCTGCAATACAAATTTGATGAAATCTGTATTCGGTATTTATTCTTACTGAATGTTCTGACGATTAAGAGAGAGGTCACAGGTTCAAATCCCTGACGCGCCCCCATTCTGTCATGACCCGGCTTGTAGGCAATGACAAAAACTGGAGAGGACACAATGGATAAGGGTAAATAAGTATATAATAATATAAAGCAAACTAATATCTTTGTTAGCAATCAATAATGAAGTTATCCAACATTTGAAAAGCTCTGAAAAAACTTTTTGTCAATTAGCTTGTTGCATGGAGTATAAGGTGAGACACGAACGTTTTTAGGGACATAATTGCAGAAAGATGATGTCATGTCCCGATTACAGTCAGTTTTTAGTTGTTTTTAACGTTAGAATCAAAATGCTTTGCTATAGGCCACACTAATCGACTTTTTTAATTAACGTTCACAGTTGTTTATGAAGTTATGAATATTTAATGTTATGAAACTATTACTCCCTGTTAGTCAATACTCAATATTTTAATGAAGAACTATAGTGGTACCTGTGATTATCCTACTCTTTTGTTCAAAGCATGTGCTGTATGTGAAACTAGAGTTTCTGCAGCTACCCTGACTTTATGTAACAATGCTATTCCTGTAATACTATTAAAGTATACATAAGAGATGCGTCACACAGTATGAATTCAATCGTTGACTAAAGTGACCTCATCACAGCGTATGATTTTTAGTTACGCATTAATATAACAGTTACTTTCATCGTTTTTCAGTATTCTTACAGTGCATATCCGATAGAGGTTGTTAAAGTGACTTGTTTTTGGGTCCAGGTAAACAGTGCCATTCTGAAATTAATAAAGCTCATGAACTGTAGGAGCGTTTAGATTCCTAACAATTTGCAAATATGAAAATATGTTGCAATAAAAGTTTGTTGTAATCCGTTTTCTGATTTGATTAGGTCAGCGTTGGCACTGCACACTTCCTTTTAGCACAGTAATGTATTCTCTTCAGTTTGACTTAATCACATTGCCCTCAGAGTTATGAGTATCCTCCAGTGAGGAGTGTGACTACTTACAGTGTAATGAAGTGGTAGCATGTGTACAATGTAAGTCTGCTTAATAACTAACAGACCGTCAACATGTGGGAACAATATTCCCCAAACCACAGTCTGTAATAAAGAGGGAAAGACGAGAGGAATAAAAGGCAACCGGAAAGAAACTCAGATCAAAAGCACTAAAACAGACTTTTCTCTGGGAAAGAAACATTATTTATCAATCTAATGATTTAATAAAGAATACTGTAAACATGCAATATAATTCAATTAGTAGAAAAAGGAGTCAGTGGTTTTCCTCGTTTTTAACCAACCTGCATTTTTAGTTTTTCAGTGAATAAGTGACTCTGGATTATTGCATTGCACTGCCCTCTGTTGGACATTATATCTAACTGTTTACGGCTTTCTGGAACCTGTTGATGGTCTCACATTCAGGGAGAACTGGATCAGTCACTTACATCCAAAATACATGTTTGGACTTTCTAAACATTATTGTATATCTTGTCAAATTCAACATGTATGTTTTCTATTTTCTTTTCTTGTTTATTTCTAGTTTTGTTTTAATGTAAAATGCCTTTTCTTTTATGCTGATGCCAAAAAAACATTATTTTCTGATACAAAATCACCTACAGCACATAAAACCCCCACACCTTTAATATATCTCTCCTCCTCATCTTACCAACACATCCCACCCAACCAATTAAATATATAATATATTTAAAGAATAATGTTCAGTACTTTTGTACAGTCACTAAGTAAACAATGCTTGATATAAAGGGAGATACTCACCCTTATCCATTTAAAAAATAAAAATTGCATATCAAGTATATAATACTCAGAACAAAGATGAATGGTGTATTGATCATTCAAATGGTATTTTCTGTATTTTGAAATTTGATCGAAACAGCACTTTTTTAATTATGACATTTTAGGCTTGGAAATTTATTTAAAAGGTTTTGTACCGCATAAAAAAAAAACAAGAATTGTCTAGATATCCTTGACACAAAACATGAAATGCTTTTACTCATCTCCCTTATCCACAGCTTTTATATCAATCATTTTCATAATAATGTAATGTTCAGATCGACACAGTAAGAAAACAATGCCTGATTAAGAGGAAGATATTTACCCTTTAAAAAATCCAGATTTGTTAAAAAAATGAACAACGGTCCAAAATCCATTTCCAAGTGCTTATCAAGTAACAATACGTAGTTATTAAATCCAAAGATGTAGGAGGTTTTGATAATTCAAGTGAGCTATTTTGTATTTTGAATATTGATTTTTGAAGAGCACTGATTTATCTTCTTGTGGAAAGGCACGGGTTGGTCTTTTTCCTAAAGCAGTGCAGCAAACCGATCTGATTTCATTAAACATTTTAACATTTAGGATCTTATTTTGAAATGTTCTAAAACCTTGAAGCAACAAAGACAAGACAAGTGAAATTAACCCAAATGCATGTTTATTGAAGTCAACAACTGAACTGGCATTTTAACAAAAAAAACAAATAAAACCAATACTTTATGAACACATCCAACAGACGCAGGCCCACCACAGCATGCGGTTGGGTCTCGTCTTGATGACATCATCAGCCATAGTACAAATTAAAATACATGACAGCACTATTCCCATGTGATATGGATATTCATTCAAAAGGAAGACTT